TGAATCTCTCAATACTGTACCCTCCTTTCTATTGCAACTAAGGCTGTATTAGGCTCTTATTGCTAACCTGAAAAACAAAAATAACTTCCTGCCTCCAGTCTCTCTCTCCCTATTGTATCACACATGCTGCAACCTGACTCATCTTCCTGAAATACACGTCTGATATGTCATTCTCCATGTAACATGCATACAGCCTTCTATTCTCCACTCCTCCCTCTAACCCCTATATTCCAGCTCCAATAGACCACCAAGCCATTTACACCATATATGGTATTTTTTCATATTGCTATACATGTAATATGAAAACTCTCTACCTGATATGCTCCCCCCACTTTCTCTCCTGTCCAGGAAATTGATACCATTCTTCAAGACTTGGTTCAAATATTACCTCCTCTGTAAAGCATTCTATGACTCATCACACAGTTAATCATCCTCTCCCTTGTAACCTCATAGCATTACGCAACCACTGCAGACTTCGCCATATTATACCACAATTACTCATCTCCACATCATTCACCTGGCATGATGTTAGATTCACCACAGGGCTCAATGAAAGTTTCTGGAATAAAGATATGAACACATTAATAAGCAGAGAGTCAATTTGTCTTTCTCATCCTCTATAGCACCTGAACTTAAAAGTGTTCCTATTGATAGAAGGAAATCTGGAAGCATCTCTCCCATGGTAGTCTACCAGATTACAACGTCTTACATGCCTAAAGTGGCCTCTGCTGGACTTATAAGGTCAACATCAAGAAAAATTCCTGAGCACCCTCAAGATCAAAAGGTGGCTATGATCTTTGAGATGAAGTCAAATCACAGTGATGAGGCCTATTCCCTCCCGAATTCACTCATCGGATCCACTTTTACTGAGCACCTACTGTCTACTGGTCTCTACTAGCTAGGCACAAAGGGCCAAAAGACTTACCATTACTTAGGACCACAGACAAAGCAGCATATAAGTAAGACAGAATTCCTTTATTTAGTACAGCCTGATTGAGTACCTTTGTGTGCCAGTCTCTGTCCTATGTGCTGAGGATAGACAAGCATTCCTGTCCTCAGACAAAGAACAAGATAAAGCAGTGAAATATATAGAATAGGAGATAGTGGCAGGTGCTCAGGAGAAACAAATAAACATGGAAGGGAGAGAGGAAGTTTTGGGAGGGGAATTACAAGTTTAGACAAATGGCCAGGGAAGGTTTCATAAGTGTTAACATATGAGAAAAAGGGTTCTGGGGACACAAAGAAGGAGTGATATCTTTACGGGAAGCTAGAGAAGACTTCAAAGAGGCATCATTTTGAGGTGGATTCTGAAGAATGAATAGTGGCTTCTGAAAGGGCATTCAGGTACAGTGGGAACAGCACATGTAAGGGTAAAGAGGCACGGGAGGGCTTCTCAGGCTGAGAAAAGGGAAGAAAGCAGCTTTGTGTAGTCTGAGAACAGTATGGGAGATGTGGTAAGAGCCAAGACAAGAGAAGTTAGGAGGAATTTTTATGCCATATAAATGAGAGTGGATTTTATTCTATGGGCAGTAGGGTGCCAACAAAGGTTCTGGAGCTGAGAAGTAAGATGATCAGCCTAGGTGTAAGGAGGGTTGCTCTGGAGGCATCGTGCAGGCCAGAGTGATGGGGGAAGACCATGAAGGAGGGCCACCACGACAATCTAAGGAAGTGACTACTGTGCTTGGACAGCTGACGGAGTCAGACTGCACTTCCACAGCAGTGTTTTCATACCTGAAACAAACAGGTGTCCACTTCCAAATGCCAGTGAGATGACAGCTCTTTGTCAAACAAAATATTCATATTTTGCAAGAGAACCCACAATTAATGCTGTTTTTTTTTTTTAATAACTTTAAGAAACATTATGATGACTGTTTTGGGGCTTCTATATAACCACATAAGTGGCTTTCTTTATACGATGCTTTCTGCTACTAGCTGCTTGTTTTTATACCTGGACTAAATGTTGTGTCCAATCAGTCAAAATATTAATGTAAAACTTAGTGGAAGAAGAAAAAAATTAGAAGTCAGTGTCAAATGGGCATTTTATTCACCCATTCAGCATTAATTCCCACCTTCTAGAGTATCATATGAAGACAAAAGAAAGCTTGCTAAGTGTCCTCCCAATTATAGAAGGACTATATGCTCCTTCCAAGTGGAAGGGGAAAAAACAAAGCATGCCTAATTCCATCTGCTCTCCAAATACCCCAAGTACTAAAACTTTTGGTGTATTTCCTCTGGCCTCTTTTCTACAGGTAGTTTTTATTTTACATCATTTAGAACACACAATCTTGTCATAGCACCAGTTTCAATAATTTTTCCAGTTCATCATTAATGACAGCATAAAATGGAATCAGGCATATGTGTGACTCAAGACAAAAGTCTCAGAGGTGAAGGCATTATAACACTTGCATTAATTCTAAATTTTTGATGAATCTCCCCTACACAGTATTAACATAAAATATTTTACTCTGTCCCAGTGTGACCCTTGGGAGCTGTACTGAATGAGTCTAATCCGTGCTTCACAGAAGCCACTTCATTCATTCTAAGGTAGCTCTATCATTTCTCCCTTTGTCTTCTTCTCTTCACATGAAAGATCAACATTTATTTTGATCATTGCTCATATTGCAGCACCTTTACTAGCCTGGTTCCCTTTGTCTGAACCATCTCTAGTTTGTCACTCTTCCTCTTAAAATATGGCATCAGGATTTGAACACGGCACTTCTGATGGGACTACCATCTCATTTTGTCTCGCCGTTATTATACTTTTCTTAATTCACCCAATAGATTTACTAACTTTAAAAAAAAAAATTCTGGTGTTTTATTTTATTTATTTTTAAATAAATCTTTATTGTTCATATTATTACAACTGTCCCCCCCCTCAGCTCCCCTCCACCTGATCCCCACTCAACACTCTGCCCTTACCCCCCCTCATCCTCATTCATAGGTATATGATTTTTGTTCAGTCTCTTCCTGTACCCCCCACACAGACACCCCTTTCCCCCTGAGAATTATCAATCCTCTCCCATTTTATGTCCCTGATTATATTATATTTACCAGTTTATTCTGTTCCTTAGATATTTAATTCAGTTGACTTTTAGATTCACTTGTTGATAGATATGTATTTGTTGTTCATAATTTAGGTCTATTAACTTTTTAATCAATCGTGTATAATTACTGGGTCAAATAAGAATGGGCCCCTGTTGAAACAAACCTCTTTCATCTTTATTAATACAACAGTAAATGTTATTTATGTTAAACTTCATGTTATTAGTTTCACTACAAAATCCTAGCTGATTAAGATAGTTCCCAATTCCAATTCTGCCATCTAGCACATAGGCTGGTTTTGTGTTTTTTTCATATTGGACACGCATGCTTTCTATGTGCTCATTTGCACTGAATTAGAAACACTGGAGGCAAAGGGCCCACACTAAAAGATGTGAGTGACCACCCTTCATGGTTGGTAGCAAGCTTTCAGTCTATAACTCCACCTAAATGTACTGCCACTATTCGGCCGTGATTCAATTAAGACAATGTGTATAACACTCCCAATGGTTTCTTTCTTTTCTTGCTACTTAAAAGTCATATATTTAAATGATTAATTCTAGAATTGCTGCCAATTGTTACCAAGAGTTGACATCTAGCTCACTGCTCCATTAATTTCCAGACTCTTCTTTTGCATTTTGTAAAACGAGGAACATTTGTTCAGCTCCAGTCTTACTTAGAAGCCTGAATAGATTCACATAAATAAATATCCAGTCTCAGGACCCTATGAATATTATAGAAGTAAACTCCTACAACTAAGGCAGCAGGAGTAATAAACAGAATTTTTCAGACTTTGGACACAATACTTGAACATAAAAATAATCAAAAGATGCAATCTAATCTAGATTAGAACTGTCCTGAAGAAATTGCAGGGTAAAAGCAATAAAACAAAAGTGAGATTCCCCTCACAGTCTCATTGTCTCCTGTGTAAAAGCTGCTGTTGGGCTCTTTTCAATGTACCCTGGACCTATTCGCTCCCCTTTGGTCCATCTCATCAAAGTAAAGCTGTCCCTTCAGGCCAGTCTGAGCAATGGCGACCCACCACATCTACTATAGGTCCTTCTGTGACAGTCACAGAGGCCATTCACTCCTTCTTTCCCTTCTGGAGCACACTGTCTCCATCTCATCTTTCCACCAATGGAACATTACTTAAAACATTATGGTAAACATTACGTGGCTCTGGAATGAAAAGGTAGAGTGGCATTAAGCCACACCATAGTCAGCCTAGTTCTAAACTGCTACATGATGCTTTGTAATCGAACATTTAAAAAGTTCCAGAGAGGTGGGCCTGAATAAGGGACTCACACCAGTATCTTCTATGATGTTTTAAAAATTACAACTGTGGCCGAAACAGGTTTGGCTCAGCGGTAGAGCGTCAGTCTGTGAACTGAAAGGTCCCAGGTTCGATTCTGGTCAAGGGCATGTACATTGGTTGCGGGCACATCCCCGGTAGGGGGTGTGCAAGAGGCAACTGGTTGATGTTTCTCTCTTATTGATGTTTCTAACTCTCCCTCTCCCTTCCTCTCTGTAAAAAATCAATAAAATATATTTTAAAAAACTACAACTGTGCCTGGACCAAAGAGCTAGATGTTCTGATGTAATAAATCTAGGACATTGTGGTGTTTTTAAGCTCCACAGGTGAATTTTCTCTGTGCTTCTTCTAAAGAACCACTGTTCTACACCCACCTACCGTAACTTCTCCAAACTAGCAAGTGGGTACAGTTACCAACCCCTCCCCACTATTATGAGAGACAAAACTTATTTTTTTAAATTCACTCTATTCCTACATATATAGGTGTTAGTGTAAAATAAGCTTTGCATAAGCCAAAAATTAAGAGTTGAGAAGCAATGTATCCCCCATGTTAATCCAAGCCACAGTCAATCTTGCAAAGTAGAAGAGAAACAGTTTAGCATTATCTTTAACAGTTAGGGCCATCTTTATGGTCTTAGATTCTACTTACCGTTTCCAAACTTCTTAAATAAAGACGATAATTTGTGATGTAAACTCTTCCCTTAATGGGGCCATTGAAAGGACATATGTAAATAACTTCTTTGTCTATTAAGATAAAAAAAGTACCCTAAAATAATGGAAATATATACCAAGATATACAACAAATGGCACTAATTTAATATAAACTATTTGGCTAAGAATAACTACAATAAAAGTCACTGAAAAGTTTGAAAGCAAGCATTGGCAATGTTTCTACATTACCATGCTCCATCCAGTGAGGCTGTTAGGGAACGAGTGGGGCCACACGTCACCTGTAGGCACTAGTGGTGCTTCTCTGAGCTTGCTCATCATGTTATCACTATCTGGAGTAAGGGGATAACGGCTGGAGAGCAGAAGTGAATGAGGATACTGATGCTGCTACTCTCAAGAGGTTATAAAGGTAAATTCTGAGCTAGTTCAACCAGAGGATTGCAATTCTGTAGGACAGTCTCGTGGACAAACCACCAGATGGGGTTTGAGGTTTGCCAACCCCTAATCATACAAACATTGTGCTGTGTTTAATAAATGAATGTCAGCAGTAGAGAGGTTTTGATAGTCTACTCGTTCTCTTTTAATAGTCCAGATGAGAGTTTAGCTAGATACATCTCAAACATTTAAGTGATATAAAACAGATGGCCAAGAGAATAGTACAATTCTGGTAGAATCAAACATAAGGAGAAACTAAATTAGGAGAGTTAATTTATTATAAAAATGTATCTTTCTCTTATCTTTCAAGGATATCTTTGAATGTGTTATTGGCTTTTATTTTTTTAAAACAAGCTTGAAATCCCTTTCTCCTCAGGTGCTCAATGAAAAATACCCAGTAAGGCTACCTCATGCTAATTCAGTTACTACACACCAGTTAAAGGTTTTGGCACTGATACAGAGCATCAAAACTTCATATGTGGAAATCACCAAAAGTAAGCTTTGCTCTTATCCAAAAATTGGAATGCTTGCAAGTTGGTGGACATGAAATAGTTTCTCCTGCTGCATGGTTAATTAATTCACAAAGGCACCATATCTATGACCTTAATCTAATTAGCACCATCCATTTAAGCTAAACAATCAAGATCTTAGTCAATACACCAAAAGTTCCCTGAAACAGTGGTAACTATATTATCACCTAATACATGGGAATCTGAGAGGGAGTCGACCCTAATAATCAGCCCTTGGCTCAGAAGCTGTCAGATGTATCTGTATTCTTAAACCAGAATAATCTGGTTCTTCCAAAGTAGATACTTTCCTCTTAATATAAATTTGTCAAGAAAAAATAAGTCAACAATAAAATTATGACATCAATATTACTAACTTCAGTTATCTGGCAAATGAAAGCTATTTTAAACCATTATGGTTTCCTACATTTCAGAGAAGAGAATACTGAGACTTTTAAGCCTTTTAACTTGATCATTTTAAAGCATACATCATAGACTATATAGAAAACCTTAATATCATTTTGTCCTTATAACCTCAAGCCATGAGAGCTTATCACTCCAATAAGTAACTTTCAACAGATAACCCACATTTCCCCCAAAAATAATGTCGTCTTTGATACAGAGAAAAGTATATCATTATCCTGGAGAGCACAAAGCTCTTGAAAGAACTCTTTGATCAAGAAACTAATACACAGAGTTCTCTCCATATTAACACTTAAACAAAGCTAGCTTATTTGTCTAAATTTGACTTCTAAGAACATAAAGAATAGAAGCCATCTGATCCTGCTGGACATCTCACCAATTTATGCAAATCCTAACTTCACAGGATCCTTACCAGTAATGCGAGTTTCTCCTGGAAGTCGAGGAACAGCCTCACTGAGATCCCGATTGACTCCATCTCTAGAAGTCTGTAAATGAAACAGTGGCATCAGAAGTAATGACACTACATTTGCACAGGTTTTCAAGCAACCTGTAACACAACTGACCAGAAATACACTTTAGTAAAGGAAAAAAACAACAACAGAGAAATATTTATCATTATAGAACGTTGGCACAGAAAATTTAAACTAAAACATAACCTCAAAATTCATTAGTAGTGGTAACTTTTAGTCTGCAAATAATATTAACATTTGCTTTTAACAAATAGTAATTTTAAACACCCCTTCCAAGCACTACTCTATTAACAGCATTCAGAAAAATGACAAAAAGTAAATATTGAATGTCTTCTATAGATACATGTATACTGTGACAATTTTTTAAAATATTAAATATTTAGTCATTTATCTTTTTTGTTAAGAGTAGAAATGAAAACTTCTTTCAATGGGGCCTTACCTGAGCCATAGTAATCACAGACTCTTCTTACAATGCCAGAAAATAACCTTTATTACATATTGGGTTTCTTATTTTACTAAGATCTTTCCTCACTTAGGTAATTTGATAAGAGGAAAGCTGTTATTGAACCTTGGAGCTGACAAGAGGCTTAGGTACCATCTACACAAATACTTGCCATGTCTCTAGGCGTCCTGGCTTCAGCGGTATATCCAGGCCTGTGCCTTATTCAAAGGCCACAGCAGCTCCTTCAGGGAGGCAAGTAGCAACCACTGAAACCCATAGGAAAGTTCTAAGTGTAATTTGACATCATTGGCCATTGTGACCCGGATGCCTGGTAAGGTGTCTCTCAATCTATTCAACTGCCCTAGTGTATTCACAGCAATGACTGGCTGGCTGTGTCCACTTTAGGGCATATGAGGCACATCATTAAAATTTGTTTCGGCAAAATGTTTTTCTCAGCATTACTTTTCATTCATTTTTTTCTAGTTGTTTTCCAAAATGTCACACTGCAATCATTTCATGTGTGAAGTTAATTAATACTTACCTCAAAGGGGTTTTATGAATGTATTAAGTGAAACAAAATGCACAAGCACACTTTTGTGAATTATCAAGGGCTATGTAAAGTATTACCAACTGAGAGAAATGGGGATTGTGTATTTAGGTAATATACAAGCTAACAAAGAGGGGTGCTTTCCTGGGTTTTTAATGGTTATATCTTTTTTTAAATATATATTTTATTGATTTTTACAGAGAGGAAGAGAGAGATAGTTAGAAACGTGGATGCAAGGGAAACATCGATCAGCTGCCTCTTGCACACCCCCTACTGGGGATGTGCCCGCAACCAAGGTTCATGCCCTTGACCAGAATTAAACCCAGGACCTTTCAGTCAGCAGGCCGACACTCTATCCACTGAGCCAAACCGGTTTCGGCGGTTATATCTTTTTATTCAGGCACAAAATGAAAATTCTTAGCCAATTTTCAGTATGTTTTAGTGCTTGCAAGCTAAGCATTTTTAACTAGGAGGACAAGACAAGTTGTCCCCAGCCAGGAATGCCTTCCTCAATAAAAAGCAAAACCTCACACCTTATATAATAAGACGGGAAATAAATTACCATCATCCTTTAACACCACCTCGCACTAACTAAAAACAAGTATAATGAGCAAATTTAATAGTCAGTATGCCTTTGAAATATCACAGTTCTGGGTCAGAAAAAAGCATAATTCAACCACAAAATAAGAAAAACAAATGTTTGATTAACACAGGATAACATGAAATTAGCATAGGATATACTTTATTTTAATGTTATACCTTCTTGGAGTTACTTTTTAAAAAATATATTTTTATTGATTTCAGAAAGGAAGGGACAGGGAGAGAGAGACAGAAACATCAATGATGAGAGAGAATCATTGTTCAGCTGCCTCCTGCATGCCCCCTACTGGGGATCAAGCCCATAAAAGGGCATGTGCCATTGACCTGAATGGAACCTGAAACCCTTTAGTCCACAGGCTGACTTTCTATCCACTGAGCCAAACCAGCAAGGGCTACTTTTGTTTTTAGAACTGATTTTTGACCATAACATTACTAAAATACAATAAAAATGTATGTAATCTTAGTGAGTAAAGGGTCCTTATAAACATGATACCAAAAGCAGAAAATATAAAGGAAAAGCGTGGTAGATGTGATTACATAAAAATTTTAAACTTGTGACTTTCAAAATAAGAACAAAATATTATAATTATCTTTAGACAAAATCCTGTAAATATAATTAAAAGATTGATAATAAATTAGGTGAAAAGGGTGAAGGGGAATAAGATGTACAAACTTCCAGTTATAAAATAAGCCAGCCACAGAGACATAGTGTACAGTTCAGGGAATATAGTCAATAAAAAAACAAAAACAAAATTAGGGTAAATATTTGTAATGTATATCATAAAGACTTGGTTAAAAATATATATATATATATATATATATATATAACACTTATAAATCAATAGAAAAAGTCCTCCAAACATTCCAAAGGCAATTAGGCAAAGCCCATGAATAGTCACTTCACAAAAGAAATTCAAATAAACAAAAGCACATTTTCTTCTTTTTTAAAAGACCAACCTCATTAGTAATCAGGGAAATACAAATTAAAAGACATCAGTTTTCTCCCTTCTGATTGCATCCCCCTACATGGCCATTGGGAGTGTCAATAACCTTTGTGGTGGATAATCAAGAAAATGTATCAAAAGCCTTAAAGGGCCATGAATAAAGCCTATTTTAAATTGATCCCTTACTTCCAATTTATGTTCCAAAATCTCCCTCTAGTTACATAATTTTCTCCTCAATACTTTGAATCATTTTCTGTTAATATTGTATTTATCTCAGTCATGCAACTATTTTATCATCATAATTAGAAAATAATGCCAATATTCAAGAGGGTTTTCCAATATATCTTTAGGAAACCTTTCAGGGGAGAGGGAATGCCTATACCTCAAATGTAATATTCACAATACAGAGATTCTAAAAAATGAAGTTGCATGAAAGGATTTACAAACCAAACTCAAGTAAAACATATAAGGTAGCCTGTTTTTCCTAGAACAAGGTGGGATAATAAATAAAGCCACGTGTATTGAAGTATTTACATGATGTGAACGAATAATGTAATTAATAATTCAATAAATCCAAAATGACTGCCTAATATGAAAAGAGAAATGCAGAGAAAGAGATGGGATAAATCTGAAAACTCGACTTACCCTCTTAATAGACTCATTTTCCAAGGAGTGTGAATTATATTTAGAAGTTGATGCAGAAGCCATACTGGAACTCTACCAAGAAAGACAACATTCAATATTAAAGGAATTGTATGCAATTTCAGACATATGTACACCTGCTTTTTAAATTTTGTAATTGAGAACTAACAGTACTACACTTTACAGGCCCTATTTCCACTGTAGTTTCCAGTGGGGATGACACACACAAAGGACTAAGCACAGCACCAGTCAAGGACAGAGCTCCGTGAAAGGTGCAGGGCACTTTGGAGGGACAGGAAAGGGTAGCTAGCTAGCTATGTATGCATGAAGGAGCCCAGAGGAAGATAGCACACAGATTTCTGAACTTTTTATCCACTGCATTCAAATAGTCACCTAAAAGAATTTAATGTTTAGCAAGTGTGCAGCAGGCCTCAAATTTCCACATTTCTTAATTTTTAAAGATTATTTAGAGGCAACGGAGTAATAAAAAGGGTAGAAATTGAACTCACGGTAGTTTTCCCTTTAAGAATTCTATTTTTGTCTTAGCCAGGTTTCTCAATGGTTAGAATATTAGCCCAAGGATTGAAGGGTTGTGGGTTCAATTCTGGTCAAGGGCATATACGTTGGTAGCAGGTTCGATCCCCAGCACCAGTTGGGGCAAGTACGAGGGTCAACCAATCGTGTCTCTCTCATATCAATATTTTTCTCTCTGTCTCTCCCCATCTCTTCCACTTTCTTTAAAAATCAATGGAAAAAAATATCCTCAGGTGAGGATTAACAACAACAACAAAAGAGTTGTATTTTATTCAAATTAAGGCAATTTAAAGTGGCATGAATTTGATGGAAATCAAATTAGTAAGATTTGATTTAGTCAGTATTTTTCTAAGGAAAGCATTCATTCACTTAATCTAAATAATGCATATTCATCACAAGACAGACATAAATGAAAGAATCATGTCAGAATATATACAATGTTATAATGCAAGATTTACACTTGTGAAGATTATAACAGGAATCTAAGTAATGTTTCAGTTATTTTATTAATCAAAGTTAGTGACAGAGAAGTACATTGAAGTCACAGGGAAGTACACAGAATTCAATTCAACAAAGTGACTGTTGATTTTCCCCGGGCTCATTAAATGAGTAACTACTTGCTAACAAAATGCAGCATTGAGAATATCAACACACCTTAGCATAAAAACTAGTGATTTGATAGCTTTTCAGTGTTGACCATTGTCATTAAGTAAGGCCTAAGAGAGATGACAAGATGCAGACAAGCATAATCACGAGAATGAAGAGACAGAGAAATGGTCAGGTGAGGACAATCTTATAAGATTAGGAATATCAGCCCCCATCCTCAGAATTGAGCTCTCCAAGGCAAGGCTGAGAGTCTATCTGGGTCATGTTTGTATCCTGGCACACAGTTGACACTCATAACTATTTAGTGAATGAGTGATTATATGCAAAACACACAATATTGTGAAACATCATGATGGGGTTAGATGGTATATTGGTTCACCAAATCCCTGAACACTGAAACTAGGGAACTACTGCTGAGGCATAAAAATAAACAATTAGGGCAAAGCACAGTAATTCTTTATAAAAATGGATACTAAATTTCAAAAATCTAAAACTCATACTAAGATGTGGCACAACATAAAGTTAGAAATAACTTTTTAAAAAGATTAATGAGTGATAACTCTAAAACGAATTACATTCTGACAGAATATCCTTGAAAAGCTTCTCTAACCTTAAATTCAAATCCTAGCAAAATAATCCTTTATTCTGAGATAGGAGAATGGATGAGATGGACTAGATAGAGCAAGTAAGATGTTTATGCTCTAAAATTATTCTATTGACTAAACAAGATTATATAGTTGGGAACTTTTCTTCAGTAACAGATACAAAACCACTTTTTAGGAATCAAATATTTAAATCATTTAAAAAGTCAGTGTTTAAAAAAAAAAAGTTAAATTATTACTGTCAAGTCAACAGAAGAAATTGAAAATATTGGGTGATATAGTTAATTCAGTCTTCATCTTCCTGTTCCTATTTATCAACCATAAAAGATTAACCTTCCTATTTTCAATACTCCTTTTAATTTTTCAATTTAAAATGAACTAAATATAACAGAGGAAAGTCCACATTTTCCCCTTATTTTTAACTACCTTATATTTGAGACATAACTCAAATATTATACAACTCATCCTCTTCAAGTGTACAATTTAATGGCTTTTAGTATATCCACAGAGTTATGCAACTATAACTGCAATAAACCTTATAACATTGTCGTCACCACAAAAGAGAAACCCCGTACCATTATTAGTCATTCATCACTCCCCATTCTCTCAGCCCCGAGGCTATCACGAATTTGCTATCTCTACAGATTTGCCCATCCTGGACATTTTGTAAAGGTGAATTAATATAATATGAAGTCTTTATGTGCAAAGCGCTCATTTTAGAGCTACATTAACTGCTACTAAAAGTTAGATCAAGTACAAATCTGAGAAATCCGAGGGCCCAAGTAAGATGAGTCAGTTTTGAGATGAGGTTCGCTGTAAATGCTCATCAGTGAACCTCTTTTTGTTGAAGGTTCCAATTATTCCTGAAATACACAGAAGATGGAACAGTGTGATGCTGCAAAGCGTAGATGTTGGAGCTGACTCCATTCAAATTCTGACTCGACATCTCAGTATTTGACCTTGGAAGGTTATTTAACTTCTCTGGCCTTAGATCTTAGAACAGTGCCCTGATATATTTGTTAAACAAATTATTATCACTTTTTCAATTATGAAAGGATAATTATTGAAGCTGACACCATAACTTATTCTACAAATTAGTCCTGACCCTATAAATACTAGGAAGAAAGTTAATGACCACTGGGATAATACATTGCTGGTAGTACTTAGCTATAAAGCTTCTCTCTCTTTTATTTTTTAATTAAAACTTTTAAAAAAATATATATATATATATTATTGATTTTTCACAGAGAGGAAGAGAGAGAGATAGAAAGCCAGAAACATCGACGTGAGAGAATCATGGATCAGCTGCCTTCTGCATACCCCCCACTAGGGATGTGCCCACAACCAAGGTACATGCCCTTGACTGGAATCGAACCTGGGACCTTTCAGTCCGCAGGCCGACGCTCTATCCACTGAGCCAAACCGGTCCCGGCTATAAAGCTTCTCTTTAAAAAGTACATGAAAATAATGTCTCATTAGCACAAGGGGGAGCAGTACATGGCTGTGGAAAATGTACTAAATGGATGAGCACAGGCCCTAGGCTTTCTTGAACTTATCAAGCATGGAAAGTTCATCTGTACTTTCATAATATCTCCATTGGTCTAAACACAGTTCAATAATAATTAGAAACTAAAGTGAAGTTTACAAAAGTCAGCTACCCTATTGGTTACAGAGTATTTTGCCCAAAGCCTCTAAAGCTCAAGTTTTAATCCTTTTTGTTTAAAAAACATTGAATTGAGGCTACCGCGACTTTAAAGTGAAATTGAAACTTAATTCCCTATATATATGCTAATTACAAGATTCTAACCAAAGGTAGACTTCTATCATTTTTGATCCTGAAAGACAACTTTTGTTATGATTTAAGCCCAAACCTCCCTATTGTGGAGATGAGCAGATAGCCTAGGCAGTGTTTCCCAAACTTTTGACATATGTGTACCCCTTCTATAATTTTCGAACGCCTCGTATTCATGAGAACGTAGAATTAGGCGCAGCTAAGCACGGTGCAGTGCACATCCCCACCAAACTCCGGTGCAACGCGTACCCCCACCAAACTCTTCCCGTATCCATGGGGGTACGCGTACCACACTTTGGGAAACAGTGGCCTAGAGGGTGTGTGGCAAGGCCCTGGCATGAGTTAGTGGCAGGGCCAGCTCCAGCCTAGGCTTCTTGACCAACACTGCAATGTCCTTTCCACCCAGAGAAAAGAGCTTCCAAATGGTCTCTATTTTTCAAAAGAAAACAACAACATGTTAGATGTGACTGGTCCCGAGTTCAGCAGAAAAGGAGTTTTAGACTAAGAATCATAGTTAAGAAAACAACTCATTTAAGCAAGAAATCTTTGGGGCTGCCAACCGCCTTCAAATAAAGGTGGCATTACTTAATAAGTCAAAACTTTAAGTCACAACATGGCCTTAATTGTGTTTCTCCTTAAATTCAAGACAAATAACCTCAGTGATCTCCCCCAGTTTCCCACCCTCTTCTCTTCCACCTCTCCCCGTGTCTTTGTTTTCTCTCTGCCCCTCTCTATCCCTTCTTCCTACTACTTACCAACTTTCAGATATCTGTTGTTACCCTCTACCTCCACCCATCAAAATTCAGACCCCCACTAGAATACAAGCCCCCACCAGAAGACAAGTCTCCACTAGATAGGGATTCTGGTCTGTTTTATTTACTGCTCCATTTTTAACGCCTACAACAGTGACTAGCTGGCACCCAGTAGGTACCAAATAGGCATTTGCTAAATGAATGCATGAACTGGGCAATAACTGCTGCTTGCCCAATGTTTCATTTAGGGCAGAAATTCATGCAAGCTTAAAAAAATGGTAGAACAAATCTTTGCCTAATCAAGGCATGATGGCTCTGGGCAGCAGAATGCCAGCACTGCCTTATGCCTCCTTGAGGCAATAGCACTGAAAAAGAACTTGAACACTACCATCCTACTTCCCAAGAAATAGACATTTCAAATGAAGGCCCCCAAACCTCTTGCTTCTTGCCCTTCTTCCAGATTAAGAAACTCTTCTACTCTCCATGGAATATGAAAAACAGGACTCCACAAGACACCTGCAAGCAGACATAACTATAAACACTTTCAAACAAATGAGGGCCATTTTTAACCTCTTGTAAAAATCTAAAAGCAGTAGAACCAGAAGATAAGTGTGACCTCCACTTCACAGGGCCTTTGCAAGCAAAATCTAAACTCCACTGGGAGCTCTAGTTTCCATGGTCACCTGATTTGAGATCAATGGGCCTAAATTAGTGGTTTTACTGAACTTTCCATGTAACAACAGAGACAAAAGGCATGCAGGCCTTCTCTTTATTTTTTTT